ATTAGGAACTCGTGCATATCAGCTGTATATCAGGGACTCGTGCATATCAGCTGTACATTAGGAACTCGTGCATATCAGCTGTACATTAGGAACTCATACATATCAGCTGTATATTAGGGACTCGGGCATCAGTTGTATATTAGGGACTCGTGCTACATATTTCTTATTAGGAACTCATGCATATCAGCTGTATATTAGGGACTCGTGCATATCAGCTGTATATTAGGAACTCATGCATATCAGTTGTATATACTGTATTCTAATTTCTAACCACAACTGTGTCATTTGAAAAATCCAATAGGTCCAAATATTTTTAGTCTTTTTTATTTAAAAATTTTTATGTGTATTGGGCCTGCGTGTCTGTGTGAGGGTGTTGGATCACCGGAACTTGAGTTACAGACAGATGTGAGCTGCCATGTTGTTGGGAATTGAAGCTGGGTCCTCTGAAAGAATAGCCAATGCTCTTAACTGTTGAGCTATGTCTCCAGTCCTTGGCTTGATCCAATTTTCTTTCTCTTTCCGTCTTCCTTCCTTTCTTTCTCTCTTTTTTTTTCTTTCTTTGGTCGAAATTTTTAACAAGACCAATGGCCCAATTAAAAAAAAAGACAAAACCAAATTATCCTTTGTCCTGTTTCATCTTTAACAAGCTAACAATAATCTGAGTGGAGAAAAGCAGATGTTAAAGGGGAGAGAAAGGGTACTTATATTTCAAATCATGACTACATAATGAAAAAAATGGAAAGGTTTAATGTGAGCTGAAATCAGAAAGTATTATTCTTACTCATATATGAAGAAATTTTATTAAAGTTGTCATAAAAGACTGAATCCCTTGTTTTCTTATTGTTTTGTGGCACTAGAGACAGAGCCCAGGGCCTTGTGTGATAGACTAGGTGTTATCATATCACTTAACTACATCCCATGGTCCCAAATTTTGTAAAATAGGAAAGGACATTAAATGAAAAGCTTGAAAATAATCAAGTCCATGCAAAAATATGAAAAAAAAACATTAGGTACACAACTACCTTCTAATGAAAAGCTTGAAAATAATCAAGTCCATGCAAAAATATGAAAAAAAAAAAACATTAGGTACACAACTACCTTCAGATGAAAAGGCAATAAATATGGGCCAGGAGCAGACATCAATTAGCATAGCCTGTTTCACTTCCCTCCTCCACACAGAGATAAATCACACATCAAAGAGCATTTCAACTTTTATTTAATGAGGACTTTATATTTTTAACATTACAAACTAACTCTCCCTTTCTGGAAAGGCAAATCTTAACACTCAGACAATCTTCAAGCATTGTTTTAAGGAATTGAGAAGAAAACCACAGTTTACCAACAAGATTCACAACTTCTTTTTACAGTAATAATAAGAAAAATAACACATTTCACAACCAAAGTGGACCAAACTAAGTCTACCTAGAGCAGATTTTAAGATCTGGGAAAGATGACATCAATCCGACAGTTACGAAAATTGTCCATAATGAATTTGTCTCTAATGATACAGAACATATGCTTGCTTTGCAATGAACCTAAGCCTCCTCACTAAGGTCCACAGATCACAGGAAGCTTCCCCTCCTCTCAGGCTTCTGTGTAAACCATTAAGGCAAGTCAACAAAGGACCAGTAAGGCATCAGGTACAGCAGCTGACCATGGGAAACCTGTGTAACTTCCTGTAATCTGACAGCATTTAAAAATTCAGGCATTGATGTGGCAAAGTCAAGTGTTTTGTTTTTAGCATCTTACACCTAAAGCACAAAAGGTCACTTCAAGTCACTTCAATGTAATAAACAATTTGCTGTACTAGAAGAGTCAGAAACAAGAAGAAAGGAAAGGCCCTTTGGTTTAAATTTATTAACCAGATTTCCTAACTGTCCATAGAATTACATTCTGGTCTGGAAAACTCAATCGCAGTAATGTCAGATCATTATATAATTTCCCAAGCAAAAACACTTTTCCCCATTTCTCGATGATAACACCTAGGAATATTTTCATAATACAATAATGCATTAATGAAGACAATTTCTCTTTGGTCTTGTTTAATTTAAGCCGAGGGAGAAATACCACCATAAAAACAAGCTGAGCCTGGTGACACACACCTCTAACTCCAGCACCTGGAGAAGCTGAAGGAGGAGGAGGATTGCAAGTTTGAGGCCAACCTGGGCAAATCAATGAGCCTCTGTCCTAACAAAGTAGTAAGGGCCACAAAAGCATGAGGGCGCTATGTGTTTGTCCAATGAATCCATCAATTTTGTGTAGAGGATTTTCCAAGGTAAGTACTTTGAGATGCATGAGAGGATATCACTAGCGGTCACACGTTGGTTCATTTCTTTCCTGGTCACCTGGGAAATGAGGGCTTCTTTAGGTGTCTGATCATTTCAGTAATATGTGGGTACTTAGATTAGCAGGTGAAGAACAAAGCTAACTCTTTGGACTATCCCTGTGGGTACAGCAGCACCCACATCTACACATGATAATGTTACACAACTCTTCATTCCAATGTCAACGGTGGGAAGCTAACTTGCTCTAGTGTTCAGTAGTAAAAGTATTTTATCTATAACTAAAAGTCAAACTATATGGACTTGAACTGTTATTTCAAGTTTTTTTTGCCAGAGTTGGAACCTAAGTAATTATTACTTTTAAGTTTAGAAAATGAAATTCTCGACAAAAAAAAGTCAGTATAATTATGTGTGAAAATGAAAGACAACTGTAGATTTACATAGATGCATTGAAGTGACTGACTTGAAGTAGCCTATCAAGAGTACATTCAAGCCAAATGGGCACAGATTGTCATCTCATGAAAGTCAACACATAGCAAGTATCATTCACCCAAGTAGAATCTGCCATACAAACTTCTACTGAAGACTAGAACTGCTCTAGCTATGAAAGCAAATATCTCCCCAAATTTTCTTCTGTAAGCAAAAAACAAAACAAAACGAAACAAAACAAAAGGTCAGAAGTGACTTTCTGTGCATTAAAACAACATTTCTCAGAAGAGAGGAAAGGGGGTTAAAAAAAAGAAGCCCACTACAATGAAAACAGATGTGCTCTAATAAAGTATAGCACCCACACACAAAGTAAAAAAAAAAAAAATCAGCACATAATCCAAGTCTAGAAGACGTCCTTGAGTGCTATGCTCTTGGGCGCGAGTTATCATCCTGAGAGGAGACACAAGTTCGGCAGATGACTGGGTGTGACTCAGGGATCTTCAACACTGTCAAGTCAGGTGGTCTCTAGCTCTTCATGCTCACTCTCAGGAAAGCTTCGGACAAGTGCAAGAGATCAAGATGTATACAGATAGCCATTCTTTTCTTCCATTAACATCCACTGTTTCTTTCTTTCTTTTTATTTAATGAGAATTCTCCATTGAGGCAAATGCAACCACAACATGGTGAAGTGAGGTATTATTGATAGTGACTGTTCATCAGGATTTAACTTTCCTTGCTTATCTGTGAGCATTACTACTGCAGACCAAAGATTAGTATGAGGTATTATTGATAGTGACTGTTCATCAGGATTTAACTTTCCTTGCTTGAGTATCTGTGAGCATTACTACTGCAGACCAAAGATTAGTTCACTATATGTATATGCAAATGTATATGTATATGTATATGTATGTATATATCACCTCCAGACTCAACCACAGTTAATTTTTATTATCTCATCAGCTACTGGGAAAAGGCAGTGAAGGTCAGCCTTTTCCCACGTCCCATCATCTCCTCCTCTCACCAGATACTCTTCTTAGGAATGAGTACACATTGCTCGAAGAACACAAAATTTTTGTTGGTATTTCTGATGGCATAATTTTAGCAAATACAGTTCATTTTTTGTGTGAGACTGTAAACTTCAAAATGCAAATAAAATAGAAACCCAGAAAGTGCCAATTTAAAGATTTTAGAGCTATGACAAGTATTATATATATTCTGAAACATTAAAATTACTGAATCAGTGCCCAGCAGTGCTGGCGCCCACCTTTAATCCCAGCACTCAGGAAGCAGAGGCAGGCGGATCTCTGTGAGTTTGAGGACAGCCTGGTCTCCAGAGAGAATTAAAGGACCGCCAGGGCTACACACAGAAACCCTGTCTCGGGGGAGAAAAAAAAAAAGATACTGAATCAGTTCCTTAAAAATACAGACTAAGATGACGGTGTGTAAGATGCAAGGCTGTCTGAAGATCTTGGGTTTGAGCTTATAAAAATGCCAACTATATTGGATGAACAGACAGACATCAAGGTGAATCTAAAGCTGTGTCCACAAAGCTGCATGGAATTTTTAAGCCAATTTCTAATGTTTATGGGGAATGAGTCACTTATTCTATATATCAAATTCCTCTTAGGAGTTTGTTTACATAAACCAAGTAGCAGGTCTTTTGGAATATCAAATCAATTTCTAAGTACTATAAGAAAATAACAATACTTACACCAAAACAAGACAAACCAGTGTAAGTGCATTAATAATCTAGGCACCATGGAGGGAAGTATCAGAAAAATACAGGGCCTAGATGTTTTATACCAAATTCTAGAACCTGCCCACTGATAATACACAAGCAATAGGGAGGTTTACCAGTGTTTTACGTTTTAGCAATAAAAACCAGTTAGTATTTGGAGGGACACAACATTAAAATCATAATGCACCAACACAATCAATGAGCTAACATTAACACTGTCTGTTTGCTTTGCTACAATTTCAAGTTTGTCCAGTAATTTACTTATACTGTAGTTTCTCGACCAGCTTTGAGATTGGGTGCTGAGAATTGTCTCCTCATCCTTGGAGGTGTCACAAACTGGCTACAGTGGTTGGGTTTGTCAGTCTGCTTTTGACAGCAGCTGGCTGTACTGACCTCTAACTGACCTCCAGTGTTATAATTACAGTAAGACTGACGGTGCTGGTGAATATGACGCTTGGCTTGGAAAGTGTGCAGATCAGCGGCAGGGTGACCCCTGTGGGAGTTTAATGACTCTGCGGAGGAAGCTGTCTGGCAGCCCATGTTTCTCGGGGGGCCATTATTGAGAGAATTGCTTCTCCAGCGTAGCTGAGGTGGTGGTTGTTGACTATTAATGTGCTGTTTGCTAACTTGGATGTGATCTTGACTTCTTATACCCTGGGAGCCCCATGCTGACTGGGGATCTTTAGAAGCTGCTCTACCAACTTTTTCTTGGCTTTCTTCTTTATTTCCTTTTCTTCCTTCTTCATCTTTTGGAATTCTCAGCTCAATAACCTCATCTTCTGTTATAATAATATGTGTCCCAGGACTCCAAGAGTTTCGATGTTTAGGATTGCTCTTAAAGGGAAAGCGGGGCTTCCGGTTTTCAGGAGGGATGAACCTGTGGGGTACATTCTGCCGTCGAAGCTGCTTTGTTATCTCCTGCTGCTGCAGGTTCTTAAAACGGATTTGCTCTTGCCTCATCCAACGTAGTCGTCCACGTCTAAAAGCTGGATCCCCATTCATCAGCTGGGAAACTCGTTCTTCTTTGTCAAGTTCTCCACTGTCTCCTTTATTGACACCATTATCAGAGATGCTGTTAGCACCAGCACCAGGGGGCTCTTTTGTCTTGTGATTTCCTTGGCTTTTCTGTTCCTGAGATCCAATCAATGGCAAAACTTTCTCCATTTTGAGCATTTTATTTCTTAAGACTTTGATCTCTTCATCTTTCATATTATTTTGCTTTTTGACTTCTTGCAAAATATCTTCCAGCTTGTCTATGTGAACCTTGAGGTCATCTACATCTGTCCCACCTTTCCCAGTGGCCAGCATATCTTCTGTCTTCTCATCCCCCACCCCAACAGTGTCCCAGACATCCCTGGCCACTGCTCTCCAAGAGTCGCGCTCATTGGGATCTTTCTTCCCATACATGGCACAAAGCTCTTTCATCTTAACAATGGCCAAGGCTTCGATCTCCTGCCGACTATGCCTAAAATCGTTAAGGGCAACCTCATAGCAAATCTCTTTAACAGCCTGAATCTTAAGATCTGAGATGGTGACCCACTTGGAGTCTTTACTAAGGCGCCTTCTTTGAGGGATTTGATACATTTTAATTGGTTCTCGTTTCTTCCCACTGCTGGGGAGGCCACACTTTTTAACAATGGTTTGTAACTTGCTGGGAGGTAGCTTTTCTCTCAAAGAAGTAATCAGTTTCCAGCTTTCTTCACAGGACCTCTTGTCAGAATCGTCCCCGCTATCAGAGTCCGCGTCCTTTGGAAAAACAAAATAAAAAATGGCCCCCAAATAACCAAAATTAAAATGTAAAAAAGTTAAATCAAATTGAAGAAAAAGCAAGCAAAATGCCTTAACCAAATTTAAAAAACAAAATACTAAAAATTAAAAAGAAAACAAATTAAAAAAACAAAAACAAAACCTAGATAGAGAAGTCTACTAAGACTTATGCATATGCAGATTACTATTAATATAAAGATTTGTTTGTATTCCTGTTCCAAAATTCTACTTCCTGGGGTAAATGAACCATATTTCTTGGAGGGCTGATAGTCTTTTACTTGAGTCATACGAACTAGTGTGAGACAACCCTTCCACCATGCCCAGAAAACAGGCAAAGCCCAGGTCCCACACATGCTAACAACATAACATGCAGCCACTTCCCCACATTTGCCTTGGTTATTGCTGTTGCTTCTTCGAGAGTCTCTTTCCCCCAGAGTGAGCACGGTGCCACACAAAGATGTGACGAGCAGGCAGATTAACAAAGGTTAGTGAAACTGCAGGATGCCAAGTTTTGTTTAGCTTTACTAAAATGAGCAACCCTAGAAAAAAGTTAGATAGAAAGTAGAGAAAGAAGCGAACAGAGATGATGTTAAAAGTGCTAAGAACTCTTATTTGCACAACATATAAGGATCCTGTCAATCAAATTCCTTTTCCTGTTGGATGGGAGGATTTTGAAAATGGTCCTTCTAGAAGCAGATACTGGATTTGCCTTTTTTTTTTTTTGCATAGTAAATTAATCCACTTCATTTGTACATTAAGGTTTGTTACTCTGAGAACAAGAAAGCATTTCTTAAAAAAGGATGACAGGTAATTTTTTACACAATAAAACTAATAATAACTCCCTCTAAAATTCTGAGAAGTTACCAGAATAAAAATTAAGTTAGGTAAACAGTCTTTCATTAAACATAATTTAAAAATTCCCAAGGAATAGTGTATTTTAGATCTGTTTCCTTGGGAGAAGGTGCTTGGGCCTTGGACATGCTAGGCAAGCACTCTACAACTCTAGTATAACCGAGTATTTCATATCCTAGGCTTGCGAACTTATACCCACAGTCTCAGCACGTGGGAGTCTGAGACTGGAGGATTGCTACAAGTTCCAGGACAACCTAGACTTAGTATAAGATTGTCCCCCAACAAAAAAACAACCAACAAAAATTTTACAGACAAAGTAATTCATGTTTTCTACCTAGAAAACCCATGTGATTTATACCTACTTGGGGACTATTATTTTTAAGTGACAATGTTGCCAATAAACAGGAAGAATAGAAGCCGGGCATTGGTGGCACCCACCTTTAATCCCAGCACTCAGAAGGCAGAGGCAGGCGGATCTCTGTGAGTTCGAGACCAGCCTGGTCTCCAAGCGAGTGCCAGGATAGGCTCCAAAGCCACACAGGGAAACCCTGTCTCAAAAAACCAAAAAAAAAACAAACCAAAAAACCAGGAAGAATAGAGTCTGTATACATAAAATGAATACACTTGAACTGTCTTCAGTTATCTGAGTTACAGCATTATTTCTCTTCAAAAAGCAAAGGAAAAAATGTAAACCTGGGCCTAAAATTGTGAAGGGAACTTCACCTCACAGTTCACATGTGTCAGTGTACTGTGTGAGTGCCTGGCGCCCAATGTCGCCATCTGGCTGGCTATGAGACCCCAGGATCCACCTAGCTCTCCTCCCGCAGGTTAGATAGACACATGTCTCCATGCCTGGGTTTTACATGCATGCTGGGGGAATCCAAACACAAGTCCTCAGGCTTGCACAGCAAATATTTTACTCATTATGCCATCCTCTTGTCCCCTCTTCTTGTTTTTAGTTTAAAAATAGCAGAGCGGTAGGAGTTTTAAGCATAGTTTAGTGACAGAGTACTTGCCTAACATGGGCAAAACCCTAGGCTCAATTCCCAGCACATGAAAGAAAATAGTAGAAGACTAATTGTGTGTGTGTGTGTGTGTGTGTGTGCGCACGCGCGCGCGCGCATCTGTGTCTGTGTGTTTTGCAATTCAAGGTCAACTAAACTGGCCAGCCGATGAGCTTTAACAATATAGATCTACCTGTCTCTGCCCAATGTCAAGGCTGGGGTCACATGAGTCGCCACGCCTGGCTCTTTCCCTGAGTTCTGGAAGCAGAGCTCAGGTCTGTATGCTGTGCAGCAGTTCTTTACTGAGTGAGCCATCTTCCCAACCTCAAGACATCAACAGATAAGAGTACTAAGCATGTCTGGCTTGAGTGCTTTCTTTCCCCTGAATAAATATATATACACTCAGTTTTATAAAACATAACTTTCCTTTGAGTCTTCCACAGAACTATCACTTTTTTTCTTGGCTGTTTTCTTTTATAACTGCTTAGGGATAAAGTGAATATTACTGAATTTAGGAAATGACAACTATTCTAATCATTACATAAGTGTCAGTCTTGAGAAATAAAAAGTACCTTTAAGCTCTAAAATGAAACATAATAGTCTACATAAATTCAAAAACTTCAAATCAAGCAGTCCTAACTTTCTGGCACTGAATGATTGATTCGCTTTCATTATAAAACAAGTGCATAGTTGCCTGCTGAAGAGTCCTACGGATGAGTATCTGCAAGTGTGAGGAAGAGACAGGAAGTGTGCGAGAGGGCAGGGCTGAAAGACACACAGGTACACAAGAGCCCTAATGTAAGGGGATGCTCAGAAACAGAGACAGGGGCATGTGGGGAGCTATCGTTACAGAAAACTCATCAATTCCAACTTTAAAAACTTATGAAATGTATATATGCATGCATGCACATGTATATGTGTGCATTTGAAAGCCTGATCATACCATGGAGCATGTGCAGAAGTCACAGAACCATTGCAGGAATTAATTTTCTCCGTCTACCATGTAGGTTCCAGAGATGAAACTCAGCTCAGCAGGTTTGCTGGCAAGCACCTTTACCCACTGAGCCATCCTGTGGACTCTGAATTCCAATTTTTAATGCTGGCATTATGTTTAAAAATTACAGTAGTAAATGTTTGATAATAATCTAAGATAATTTATGAATATTATAGTGAAACAGTAATTACTTCATATCCTCTGAATCTTTATAGGGTACATATTGGTTGACATACAGAATCATAAAAAACATTTTTCCACCAGTATTGTTACTGGCAAATAATCTTTAGGCTAAAAGTGTTAAATATCAGCAGTTCCTCTCAAGGTCAAGAAACTTAACTAGAAGACAACTAGACTTCTGAATGGGAAGAAACTTCCTTGCTATTAGGGAGCTGCTCTTAATATCCTAGTTTATCATTAGATACACAAAACAAATGAAAACCAGGACCTCACTGCCTGCAGACTATGGATGTCCCCCTAAAAACCGAGGAGCTGCTCTTAATATCCTAGTTTATCATTAGATACACAAAACAAATGAGAACCAGGACCTCACTGCCTGCAGACTATGGATGTCCCCTTAAAAACCCCCATTAAGTATATCTTACAGACAATTGGCTATCTCTTTATTAGTACTTCTCCCTCCCCCCCCCCCCCCCATCCTTTCTTTCCTCAGGAATGAACCCAGAACCTTTGCATGCTACATAATCCCTGTCCCTCTGAACTACAGCCCCTTGCCCTTTTTCTTGCTTGTTTCGGATTTGTAGGCAGTATCTTGCTGAACCTTGCAAACTTTACTATAATCTCATGCTCCTCTTGCCTCAGCCTCATAGTGGCTGGATGACAGTTGTGCAATACCATGCCAGGCTCCATAGGCATTTTTTATGTCAAGGCATCAAACGCTCATCAACTTTTGGAGATAGAGAGCACCAGACATGGTTACTCTTTAATGCCTACTTACTCACAGTGTGCTCCCAAGGGCACTTGCATCATTATCACCTGGGAACTTCTGAGAAACTCATTATCACAGAACCTTACCCCAGACCTCAATCACTACCTGTATTTTAAAAAATATTCCCAGTGATTGAGAGGCACTGACATAAGTTAGAAGACTCAAGTTTAACAGGTATGTAAGGCCACTACTGAAGCAAATTTTTAAAATGTACATATGCACAATAACATTGTTTTCAGCCTTAATCTCAACATAAACTAAAGGCAATGCTATATATTTCATTTCTATATACATCTACCAAACAGAGTTGTTGCAAGGATCAAGTAAAATGATAAATGTTAAAGTTCTTTGTAAATTACAAAGCAACGTACATTAAAATATGAGACACTACTGTTAATATATAAAGAGTGCTTAATTACACCTTTCCTCTTGGATGTCTCACAGACCATGAGAGGAATGTTGTTAGATTACACTATATAATTAGGATGAAAGACTCCTTCATGTGTCACAAACCTTTCAAGCCCTAACCATTAAAGCCAAAGCCAAGTAAAGTAAGCCACTAGAGATACTCTTCCTGTAACATTGATATTATCTTATTCCAAACACTTAATTTATTCTTCCAATCCATATTTTTGAGGGCTTCACTATAATTTAAAAGATAATAAATTAACTGGTTTAATCTACTGCCAAGAACCAAGTGCTCTGATAAAGGCTGCTTTTACTTAGCATCTTGTCTTTCATGGACCACAATGCAATAGTTCTCTAACAGAACAGAGCGTGGCATAAGGCTGTAACTTTTATGTTGTGTTTCATGTTAAGGGAAGAGTCCAGGGTTCATCTCCCTGGTTTCTCATTAATACACCCTTGTTATTGTTTTTTAAAGGGTAACTTCCTAAATTGTATCAATTGTATTCAATCTCTTTTTGCAGCCCTGGCTGTCCTGAAATTCATTATGTAGACCAGGCTGGCCATGAACTCGAGAGATCCTCCTGCCTCTGCCTCCCAGGTGCTGGGATTAAGGGATGCATCACCGCATCGAGCACTGTGGAATTTCTTACTGCCAGGGCTTTGTGGCTGGCTTTAAATATTAACATCTACTAACAGAAATTTATTCAAAAGACATTTTTATAAAACCTGGGAAATCAATTATCATCATAAAATCCTAACCCATTATAGCTAGGATATTTAACTGACTTTTCAACTGCTTACTAAAATCTCTTTTCAACCCATAGCCAGGAGTGTCCCTCTCCTGTCTGAGACGAGTGTGTAGTCCCCCATTACCCTGTTACCACAAAAGCCACTGAGAACTTTACTGAGAATTCAGACTCCATGCAGGGGAACAGAAAAGGATTAACACATGCAACTGTGCAGCAACACTTTTAGACACAGTTTAACTTAAAACAAAAACAAAAACAAAAAAACCACAAAATAACAACAACAAAAAAAACAAAAAAACAACAATCTGCCCAGCACAAGAATAATCCCCATGTCAGCCTAAGAGCAGAGAATTAGTACTATCAAGTGGCCAGAAACAAAACCAAGGCAAACTCCCATCAAATTCAATATTCAGTTATTATCATTCAAAAGACCACCATTGAAACACATTCAAAAAGCACTACCAAAAGGCAAAGGTATCATAAAGCTCTCATTATTTCGTCAAAAAGCTCCTGACCGTGACAGAAGATCTAATTTTAAGAAATAAAAGGTAGAAAATAGTGCCTCTATGGATGCTCTCCCAGACTAAGATTGCCGAGGATATATGATAGGTAGCTCATTAAGAAAATGACAGCTATGTGTGGCACCAATGAGAGCCTGCTAGAAGGCATGAGAGCAACTGCCCAACAGCTGTAGTTTCAGGACAGACTCCTACCAGTCTCTGCTGCTCCAGAAGGAGATCAGCTTCCTCCTTCTCCTTTTTGTACAGGATCTCCATTTCCTGCAGCCTAGAAGCAAAACAAACAACAGAAACAAAACACCAATAAAGAGTAAGTTGTGAAATCCATCCCCAAGCTGCTGTTGTGAAAGCTGCTACATGACTCAAAGTGTCACACAGGTGGCCTAACACTTCCGGGTTACCTTTTCTCCATCTCCTGCTTCATATCGATCCCCTGTTTTTCCAGAAGCTCTCTCTGAGCAAATGTCCAGTCCACAGGCTCCGAGGGCGTCTCAGCAGAGGGAGTCTTCTCCCGCTCAGCTCGTGCTTGCTCAGGGTGGTTGAAACGAAAGACATGGTTTTTCCCCATGATGATACGGTTCCCTACAACAAGCAGAAACAGGGGTAAGAATTCATTACAGTGCTGTGAGTCAAGTCCAGGCCCTGTATATACAGTATATACCAGAAAATATGCTTTACGTCTCAACTACAGCCCCAGGTCCAAGGAATCAACTTTTAATGAATAGCATCTAGTTTTTAAAATGTAAATCTTGCCAGGCAAGGTGGTGTACACCTACAATCCTAGCACACAGGAGGCCAAGGCAAGAGGCCTTCCCAGGCAGGCTACACAGTGAAAACCTACCTCAAAAAAAGGAACTACAATTTCATCCTCTTAATATATGAAGACAAATACTTGGCTGAGTGTGATGGCCGCACATTTAACCCCAGCACTCAGGAAGATCTCTGTGAGGTCAACATGGCCTACACAGTGAATTCCAAGCCAACCATGGCTACTTAGTGACACCCTATCTCAACAACAACAAAACAAACAACAAGCAATCAAGATTAAAAAGACTGCTCTGCGGTTTTACAAAAACATATATTAGGGTAACTTTAACTTTAGCCTTTAAATAAAGAGCCCAGTCTGAGGTGCTCACACAAGTCATATGTACATTGCTGAAGACTTCAGAGCTCTTTTCAGCCTCACCTGAGCGCAGCTGAACAGGTTGGGACACCCTCTTGCCATTCACATATGTTTCTGAGCGTTCACAAGGCTCTAAAGTCACAATCACTAGGAAGAATACAAACTGATGTTATTGTCATAAACTAGTGCAATCAAACAATGAAAAGTAGTTCACTATCAGACTCATGGTAACTAGAATAGATCCTTGCAACCAACCAAGAGTCTGAAGGGTCTATAGGGCAGTTTTCTGTTTGTGTGGGTTTTTGCTGTTTTTGTTTGTTTAAGACACCATAACTAATTTCAGTATAGGAAGCTATTGGGAGCTATGGTTGTGATAAAAACATTTAACTAAATTTCACAAGCCTCAAAAGCAGATAGAAAATATTAATTCTGATAGAATACTATGCAGCATATGTTTATATTTGACATACAAACAGAAGCTTACATTTGGCTGAGGAAGAAGCTAGTGCCTAGCATGAAAGAGCCACTACACAGCCGGGTTGTGGTGGGAACTCACAAAAGATTGACTTTTTCTTCTCCTTAAGATAAAAATGAATTCTATTGGGCCAATATTAAAGATTTTTCAATTCTTCCATCAACTAAACAGTTACTTTTCTCTTACTTTTCTATTAAATAATTAACATTCAAGACCAAACCTGATTGCCTACATCCTGCTCAGTTCTTGGCAGTAACAAAGGGCTTCTTTTGTTCATTCTATTTTCATGTTAAGTAGCTATGTCTGTCTTTGCATTTATAAACATCTCAGGTTTCTCCATTTTTTTCAATATTTTATTGACAAAAAAATTCCACTAACAGAGATAAGGAATCCCAAGTCCTAAGAATTTCAAATACTCCCAAGGAAAAGGTTGCTTGAGAAATTAAAACACAAAGCTCCCACCTTCACCAGTGTTGTTTCTCTCACTCCGAAAGACACAATGCTCTTCTTTAATGTGGGCCCCACTCAGCACTATGTCCTGGCGCCGCTCAGCATCTGCTTGGCCAACCCTGAACACAAGGGAAAGTGTTTCCCAGGGAAATTCAGACACAGAAAAGCACTTGTAAACAATGAACTGCTTTCTCCCAAAGACCATCTTTTGATATATATAAAAATGCACTGCTTTTTTTTTCTATCAGATGCTTTCAACTACAGATTCTATTCTCAAGTATATGAACCACCTTACATGACCAACACTGATGTAATTTACACACCATAAGAAAACAGGGCAAATCAACTTCTCTAATGAACTCCTCTGTGTTGTTTTAGGGTAACTTATTTACGTTCTTCTAGAGGAAACTGTGTGCTAACCAGTTCTACTTACAACTGGGAAGAGGAGAGAAGGTAATTTATAATCATTCCAGAAAGGAGAAATAGCAAATTATTACAAGTTTTTGGACAATTACCTTAGTTATCAATTATCTAGAAGAAAATATTAGATGAATGATTCAAACTAGAAGCAAATATACCTTGTAATTCCATCTTTGATATAATAAAGAAGACACTCTGACATCAGGGGGTCTTCATTGAGGTTAACAAGATGTGGAGTCTGAAAAAGGTTACAGATTATCAGTTTTCGAGGATAAACATGAGACAGTTGTAGCACCAGGGTTTTAAGGGAGGCCTAAAAGCATCTCATATTTCTCAGAGTACATGAAGGGAAAGGATCAATAAAAGCCTTAGTTATGGCCGGGCATGGCCATAACTTTAATCCCAGCACTCAGGAGGCAGAGGCAGGTGAATCTCTGGGAGTTCAAGGGCAGCCTGGTCTCCAGAGCAAGTGCCAGGATAGGCTCCAAAGCTACACAGAAGAAACTGTCTTGAAAAACAAACAAACAAACAAACAAACAAAAAGCCTTAGTTGTGATTCTGTAAGTAATACAAGAAGCATGCTCTATTGGTCCCCTCAAATTGGACTAATACACCCTGCTTAAGAACATGAGTCTTGCTGGGCATGGTGGCACACACCTTTAATCCTAGCACTCTGGGAAGAGACAGGTGAATTCTCAAGGCCGGCCTGATCTACACAGAGACTCTCAGGCCAGTCAGGACTACATAGTGAGACCCTGTTTCAAAAAGTAAAATAACAACAACAGGGCTGGAGACCTAGCTTGGTAAGTAAGACAACTGTCTGTTCTCCCAGAGGACTCAGGTTAGAGCCCAAGTGCTGACTCTGGTGCTCACAAGCACTTGACACACCTGTTCAGTGGATTTGATGATGTCTTCTGGCCCTTGGACACCAGGCATGCACTTGGCACTCATAACTTACACACAAGCATAACAGACACATAGAAAACAACCCCCCCCATGAACTCTGAAATTAAGAAAACCCACTTTTCTTTTTTAAGTATGTGTGTGTATGAGAGAGAATATAAATTAATATATGTGGGGGCCGTAAGAGGGCATCGAATCCTCTAGAGCAGTTCTTCTCAGTCTTCCTAATGCTGTGACCTTTAATATAGTTTCTTAGGGTATGGTGACCCCCAACTATAACATTATTTTCATTGCTATTTCATAACTGTAATTTTGCTAGTACTATGAATCATAACGTAGACATCTGTGTTTGCCGATGGTCTTAGGTGTCCCCTGTGAAAGGGTCATTTGACCTGCAAAGGGTTAGAGACCTTAAGCACCACTGCCTCATTATAGGCGGTTGTGAAGTGCCCAGCACGTGTGCAGGGACCTCAGAAGAGCAGCGGTGCTCGTAGTCACTGAGCTAACTATCTCTAACACCAGGTTGTTTGTTTGTTTAACAAACATTTGTTTGGTATGTGTGTATGTATGTGTGTGAATGCACATGTGCCACAAAGGCACATGGGAATCAAAGGACAACTTGAGGGAGGTGGTTCTCTCCTTCTACCTTGTATTTTCTGGAGTTCAAACTCAGGTTGTCTGACTTAGTGGCAAGCCCCTTTACTTGATGTGCCCAAGGCCCAGATCCTCATAAGGTCAAAGCATTGTGAACACAAAGGAGAAATTAAAACAGACCAATTCTTGGATAAGTTAAATAAAATTTTTGTAAATACCCAGATTAAGAGTCTTCAAACAGCAGGGTGGTAGTAGTATACTCCTTTATTCCCAGCACTGCTAAAATCTCTACAATGTAGGTAATATGTATAAATAAACACATCATTAAGGTAAAAATGACTCAACCTCAAATAAATATGTAATTGTTGATGTTCTAAATATCTCTAAATCTTTAAATCAATTTCTTCTTTTTTGGGAGGTGGGCTTTTTCAAGACAGGGTTTCTCTGTGTAGACCTGGCTGTCCTGGAATTCACTTTGTAGACAAGGCTGGTCTCTAACTCACAGAGATCCTCCTACCTCTGCCTTCCAAGTGCTGGGAATAAAGGTGTGTGCCACCACACCTGGCTTAATTTTTTAGTTTAAAGATTAATTTTCATTTGTGTGTGTGCATGTGCGTGCGAATGAACAATGTGTGTGTGTTTGGGTACCCACAAGGTCAGAAGAGAGCTTTGGATTCCTTAGAGCTGGAATTACAAGTAGTTTTTTCCCTCCCAACTTGGATTCCAGGAACCAAAGTAGGGAAAACCAGCAAATGCTCTTAACTGCTGGGCCATCTTCCAGCCACTTTCTTCTTGCGTATGATACAGGTTGGTTTTGGATTTATTTATTTATTTGTTTGTTTGTTTGTTCCAGCCACTTTCTTCTTGCGTATGATACAGGTTGGTTTTGGATTTATTTGTTTGTTTGTTTGTTTATTTATTTGTTTATTTATTTATTTATTTATTGGTTTTTCGAGACAGGGTTTCTCTGTGTAGCTATGGAGCCTATCCTGGCAGTTGCTCTGGAGACCAGGCTGGCCTCGAACTCACAGAGATCCACCTGCGTCTGCCTCCACATGGCTGGGATTAAAGGTGTGGGCCACCAACACCGAGCAGTTTTGGATTTACTATAAAGAAGATAGATGTTGGACTCTGTCTGATCTTCCTGTGTTCACCTCTCAAGTGCTGTGATTGTAGGTGTATGCAACCATACCCAGCTAAATCAATGTTTTCTGTTGAAAATAACATATTGGAATTTGTAAGAAAGTTTTGTGACTATGATTTAAAAGAAAAAGTAAGCAAAAGAATCTCACAAAAATCATAAAAACACTGGTTCACATCAAGCAAAAGTGCCAACTTAAAACTCTTTGACCTTGTATTCTAACCCAGAACAGAATCTATGATGTAGATACCTGCTAACAATACAGCAGTAGGACACTGAACCTGGGGCGGTGCACACGGCAGGTTCCCAGATATACCCAGAACCTTGAAGGAAGCTGACACGTATGCTTGGCACATCAATACATGTGCTACTCTTGTCAGAGAAATAAGCACACAAAACAATTATTTAATAAGGTATTCTAGTATGCAATACTAAGAACCAACTCAAGTAAAAAAGAACACACAAGACATATTACCATTCTAATTAACTAACAGGTTTCTACTCTACAACTATGATTACAGAAGTAGGGAAGTGACTAATCTAATCACTTCTTAAAAATAAAATAAAAAAAAAGGCTTGCTGAAAAGGGAGCAGAGGCATCCAGAGGGTAAGGACTGCAGTTGCTTTACTAAAGAAATGGTTGTAATAGAAACCATAGGACAGTACTGTCATTCACAAACCTCAACTGCTGAACATGGTTCCCAGGTGGCATCCTTCCCAAAAAGTATGGTACTAGAGATCAGGCCTCGTGCTAACTGCACACTAGGCAAGCACTCAGCATTAAAAGTAAAGCAACTGGTGCTAGGGCGAGGTCAGGGAGATAAGAGGAAGAACAAAAAAGATGCTTAAATATACCCAAGGCTAAAAGGTTCAGACTCACTGCCCTGGGTTTTATCTTTTGTAAACACTATAATCATTTTACAACTAGGTTCCTGCTTGTATTGTAAGATGAAAGCAGGAGTGTCTGGTTAAGCTAAGGATCTAGATAGAAACAGCTACATCGGAAAGACATGCAGAGGCTTACAAAGACAAACTGCTTTGTTTGCTTGAGTTTTACAACATGGTTACCGACCTTTTTAGGTGAGAAAACACCAAGTGTTCCTCCATCTTCTCGTATGGCAACTCCCATCTCAGCCAATAATGCTTCTCTAGAAAAAACAAAGCAAAAAGCAAAAAATCCCCAAGTGAATCAGAATACCAATACCAAAACATCAACTAAGTTAGTTACAAGAGAGCTAAAAAACAAAGCAGGAAAGCAGAAGCAGCTGGCTGCATCCAAAGCTGGCAAGAAGACATAGAATGACCAATGAGAACTTGTATTTAATTTAATTTATTTCATGTGCATTGATGTTTCCAATGTTCAAAATAAGTCAAAGAATATGCCCATGCTAAAAGTTCTGTTCCTCCAGGTAAGAATTTGGAAAGGTTATATTCCTTAAGTCTGTGCATTCAACTTGAAAAAAAAAACAATTTCCCCAGAATCTAAGAAAGCAATCAAAGTAACTTGGGGGTTAGCACCCTGGTTTTAACATTAGTGACGTCACAGATTTGATACAGGGGGTGAGTGGGAAGGTAGGGGCTTGGGTATATGAAATATAGTCTGTAAATGTGATTTTTCCCCAAATGTTATGTTCCCACCCCAGCCCCCATTTTGGTACGGTAATTGTAGGAAGGTTTTTGGTTTTCTGTATTTTTTTTGGTTGTTGTTGTGTTGTTGTTGTTGTTGCTGTTTTGGTTTGGAGTGTGTATATATGTATGTGTACATGTGTGTCCCTAATGTTGTGGGGGCAGCTTTGTGGACTTGATCCTCTTCAACCTTTAAGTGGGGATCGGGAATCAAACTCAGGCAATGAGGCTTGAGGAGAAAGTGTCTTTACATGCTGAGACATCTTGACTGCCCCAATAATGTTAGTTTAGAGAAACCTAATATAAGTAAAAAAATTCTTGGTTACATTTATTGACAGTACATCAGAGCTCATTTCTCCCTCATTTTCATAAAGAGGGAAGATAGGAACTGACTTTTTTAAATGCATACTTTTTTAAAAAAACAGTATAGACAGAACAAGAATTTTAAAAGCTTACAACCTGAACTATACATACCTTCTACTTAAATGGTTCTAGACAAAGTACCTCTGTCTAAAAGAGTGGAAACTGTTAAGCACATGACTCCCTAGAAGAGTGGTTCTCAAGCCTCCTAACACTGTATCCTTTTAATATAGGTCCTCATGCTGTATAACGACCCCCAACCAGAACATGATTTTTGTTGCTACTTCATATCTGTAATTTTGCTTCTGCTATGAATTGTAATGCAAATATCTGATACACAAACCCTGTGAAAGGGTCATTCAACCCCAAAGGGGTCATGGACCTCAGGTTGAGAATCACTGCCATAGAGAATCTTTAAATGTGTAGACTTCACCTCAAAGTGTAAATGTGATTGGATACAATCAAGCCCATAGATTTATTTGTGTTCTGTTTTGGGCAGGGAGAGAGTTCTTTGTTTTTAAATCTATTTCATTTTTTATTATAAAAGTAACTCAGACTTCCCAGGGAACTTCGAAGCACACCAGATTTTTATCCCCTGACCTTTCCATTCTGATGGCTTCGGTTTTACGAAGTTTTTCTTCCCAGGTTTCATTCAGCTCAGCAATGATCTTCTCTGACTCCTACGGAAGGGTGCACAGGTTGAAGTGAACAGTCATAATTTAATGCCATATTCAGCAAGAAAAGCATAAAACACACAACGCCCTCTGATGACAAAGTAATGAACCCTTTTTCTTTTTTGTAAGGTAAGAATCATAAATGCTAAATCTAAAACTAAGTAAACCTCAAACATACAAATCTTCCAACTCCTGATAAAAATGGGCAAATAGTGAATCTGTATGTGCATAGACAGAGGAGGGGTAATACTAACATCCAAAAATGCAAGGCACTTGCTCCTTTTTTAAATCATGGCTTCAAGTTATAATATTTATGATGTTTAAAAATGTATTGTTTTTACAAAAACTTCAAGGACAGCCTAAGGAAAATGTTATTTGATTGTCACACTAGCAAACCTTTAATGCTAGCAAAGACTAAGTAACCATTTATTACACAATCATTCCACAGATAAGAAAACTGGAGACCAAAAAAACTATATAATTAACCTTAGCCCATACTACTCCTTGGGCTGGGTTTCCTTACTTCCTTTACATTTATTCATTTTTTTTTGAAAGATAAGACATTGTGAGACAGGGTCTCATGTAGCCATCCCCGGCCTCAAACTCACTATGTAGCCAAGTTTGATGCTGCTGAATTCATGGTCCTCCTGGTTCAACCTCCTAGATACTAAGACTGTAGTGTGTGCCACCATGTTCAGCTTTCTATTTCTTCTTGATGATTTGATAAGAAGGCAGAAAATTTGATAGGGCAATCAGACATCACACACACACACACACACACACACACACACACACACACACACACACACACGAGCGATAGTTTAGGTTTTACATTCAGAAGGTTGAACGACGACTCCATGGAACATTCCTTGAAGCCATCTGATAGCTAAGGGTTTACTGTACTGGACAGCAGGATTCCTGAATGAGCTCAAGTGTGGGTCCTCAGACTGCTTAGCACAGCATTTGCCTCTTTGCCTCGCCTGCTTCTGTGATGGATGTGCATGGGTATTTATAGGATAAGCCTGGGCAACAGCACTCACAGTTCTGACTTTGATGCCAGTCTATAAACATCAGAGCCAGGGGCCATGCTGCATGCTTAAAACTTTACTGAGTAAAAAGACCAAATCATGCACACAGCGATTTCAGCTCTGTTCAAATTGTGGCTTTAAAGAAAAATTACATTCCACTATCTTTTGCCAGAGAGGTTTATAGAGGAATCGAGATAGTAACATTATATATGGAAATAGGCTATTCAAGAGGGAAAGAAGTAGCAGCAGTGATGAAGACTGATCTATAGTTAAAGATACACAGAAGCAAAGGCAAATAACCGTTAGGAAGATGAATTAGTCTCCACTGTTGCTGTTTTCCACTGCAGTATTTTTCTCTTGTGGTGTCATGTCTTAGGAATGCAGCTCCTAAGACATTCTCGAGTGTTTGAATTGTACAACTGCTGTCCCACACTCCAGACTAAAGATGTTCTGTGGCTGCATCATTAAAATGCAGGTCTATCCAAAAGCAATTCTCACCATTCACAAAATAAGAGCAGAACTAAGGCTCTTGTGCTTCAGTGAACTACCGCATGACACTGAACACAAAGCTGTAAAAAAGCCATTTGAACTCTAGAATACAGCTAGGGAAAGAAATATTTTACTTATGTTGTTTCAGGGAAAATTAAGAGAATAATTTATTTGCTGATTAACATATTACAGCTTTTTCATGAAATTAGGCAGCTGAGGGGAGTTACTTGAATAATGATAGCATTACTCCCTAGAAGCCATTGGGTGACCTAATACAAAAAAAAAAAAAAAAAAAAAAAAAAAAAACCTAGTTATTGATTTAACTCCTAACATGTGGCAATATTTCCAGTTGGTTCTAGCTGGCAGGCAGAAAGAAATTTCTCCTTTACACTAGAGGAGAAAAAAGATACTCATTTGTGCAGGAAGGCACACTATAATAACAGTTAAGAGAATATTTCCAGTTGGTTCTAGCTGGCAGGCAGAAAGAAATTTCTCCTTTATACTAGAGGAGAAAAAAGATACTCATTTGTGCAGGAAGGCACACTATAACAACAGTTAAGACTCAAAGTCCCCAAAGTGGACATTTGATATAAAATAATAAGAGGGAAGCTTCACTTCTCCCAACTGCCACAGTCCTGCTGGCAACAAGATCACTGACCCTACCTATGAGAAAAGTTGTTAATGAACACACTTTCCCACACAGAGCATCAATGAAGTCCACAGGAAAGCTTCCAAGTCAATTTTCTAACAGTAGAGATCACCCTGTACCTTGCAACCCTGGAAGGTTTCCCCTTCCTCTCCTTTTGCCAGGCATTTTAGAACTTCACTTACTTTCTGAATCAAGACACAAAAGCATTGGTTTTATTTCTGTAATCACCTTCTTTCTGAAGTAAATAAAATGCCAAAGGAAAGGATGGGATGATAAGAAAGAAAACTCTGAAGCCTACTTCATATAAAATCTATTATGCTTCACCTGAAAAAGAAAGCCTCTAATACTGATTCACTTTCAGTAGTGAACATGTGCAACACGCTAGTCTGCCTTTTCTGAGACAGGGTTTCTCTGGGTAGCCCTGGCTGTCCCGGAACTCACTCTGTAGACTAGGATGGCCTCGAACTGGCAGAGGTCCGCCTGCCTCTGCCTCCTGAGTGTACCACCACTGCCCAGCCCTTTCTTAACCTCTACCTATTAGAGTACCACCATTCTCAACTGTCTTTGGATGGGCAGCAATTGGGAATAGAGGATACTGAGTGACGGTGAAATGGATCCCTGACTATAACTTGGTAGCACGGCTGTAACTTCCCCATATTCTACGTGAGTTTCCCCTGCCCGGGTACTGTTGAACACAAAGGCCAAAAGGTAGAGAGAAACAATAATCCTGGAGGTAGTAAGCAAAAAAGAGAAAACATGATGCTCCTGAGGTGGTCTGATGGCTGGCAAGAATGCTGGCAGTTGTCCTCACCACCACAGATGACACCTGTCTGCTCTCACTGTAGTCACTGAAGGGAAGAGCACAAGCACTGCTCCTGACCTTCACATTCACAGAGACAAGACCCAAGTGGACGCAGCCAGCAACAGGCTAAAAGAGCCCTCCATCCACAGAGCTGGGATAGAGAATGGTTCATCGACTTAGTTGGATTTGCAATCAGATACATGTCTGACTGTGTCTGCTGAGAGTACTGCCAGAGAAGCTGAACCGAGAGAGAAAACCCACCATGAATGTGGCAGCACCATCCTACAAACTGGGTCCCAGACTGAAATAGAGAGGGAAGGAGAAAGCCAACCGAGTCCTGGCATTATCCTTTCTCTGATTTCTATCCACAAAGAAGTGAAAAAGCAGTCTCAATCTCGTACAGCCATGCCTTCTCTGTAGACTAACCTCAAACCATGACATAAAAGAAGTTGCTTCTTCTCTGGTATTTGGTTCCAATAAATAACCAAAGGAGTGGGCAACCTGCAAAAATGCAGCACTATGGCCCAGGGACCCCAGGTGCTCCAGGCGGGAGGAGAAAGCCTGCTTCTCCTGTAACTAAGGGCTGTGAAGGGACTTCTAGAAGGCATAATTTCATGTCCCCTAAAAAACCTGATATCACCATTCAAATGTTCAAACTTCCAGTTAATTGTATATTAATTTTGCTAACAGAGGAATGGCTCTATAGAGAATTCTATCTTCAATGAACCCAAAATTTCCAACTAGTCATTTCATTTAAAATGAAATTATTACTACTTTAGAAAGGGTTTCAAATATCACCTAGGCTGGCCTCAAATTTACTATGTAGCTAGGATGACCTTGAATACCTATCCTCCTTTCTCCATCTCCTGAATGCTGGGTCAACAGGTTCATGCTACCATGTCTGGCTTTAAAACTAAACTTACAAGCAACTTCACTATGACTTACAAGTTACCCCCAAATTATTGTAAGTCTCTACTCATCAGCTATTTTGCATGGCTAACTTAATGACCTTTCCATTTCTGGCCATGTCAAACTCAAATATTCCAACAAAAAGAAATTAACTTAGCCATGCGGTGGTGGTACATGCCTTTAATTCAAGCACTCGGGAGGCAGAGGCAGGTGGATTTTTGTGAGTTCAAGGTCAGCCTGGTCTACAGAGTGAGTTCCAGGACAGCCAGGGCTATTACACAGAGAAACCCTGTATCAAAAACCAAAACAAAACAAATTAACTTAAAATAGCAATTTCATTTTCAGGGTACCTCTAGATGTTAGTATCTCCATGTGCTAAGCCAACATTTCTGTGATGTTCATTCAGTCCTAGCTCTGCCCTCTGGAAGACATAAAGTGCTTTACATTCAATCTTCAAACTCACCTTCAGACGTTCAATGGCTTCCTCCCCTCCAGGTGTAGACATGATCCTCTCTTGAATACTGGTCACAGATGTTAAGCCCACCTGACTATTAAGTGAGCATGAAGATGGAGATGAAGTAAGGGACCCCATGGATGCTGTGGAAAAATTGCCAGGGCGTTGGTTCTCAGAGGCTAGCAAGTACCTATGTTTATTGTTCTGAAAATCTTTCAGATCTGGGAGACAGAAAGAAGGGAAGGTAGAAAGAGAGAAGGCAAGAAGCAGAGGAGGAAAAAAGACAGGAAGGAACACCAGTGTGAGAAAGGACAGCATCAGAGCGTCAAGACTAACACACACTGTAACACAAAGACAAGCTCTAAAACTGTACTAGATGGCAGTTCTAAAACATGTCACTCTGTAATATTTGATCCTAAGCAGTCAGTCATTTCTGAATTTAGAAATGAGAAGTTTCCAGTGTAGGAAGGTATAACCAGAACTTCAAAGATGTTCTTCCTAAACGCATAAGCTATAGTCCTTAAATTCTTCCTGCTATTCTAAGTCTTCAATAGCTACAGTTTTAGTATATTTTTTAAACTCCAGCAGTTTTTAACAGAAAGGGGAAAATAGCAATTAATATCATGTATTGGCGTAGCTCAGTGTTTAATGGGATTCAACAAAAATTTAAGTAATGTTAGCTTAGAACTCTTAAGCATTTAGTAGTCTGTGCATAGTAGCATTTTAATATGCCAAAAAATATAATCTAAATTTTAAAAAGTAATCATAGAAATGAGAACACTTTTGAGGAAATATGGTATTAACTTTGTAATGAATGGTTGTTTCAACAGGAAAGAACAATTAGTGAATTAACAAGTTTTAGTATATTTTCCGTTTATGAATCACAGCAAACAAAAATTAAAAACCATTTGATAATTTAAATAACCCTTCTGTGTCTAACAGCACAATCATTGAGCCACTGTAAGACTCCTTTCTAATATGATAGCCAAGTTTTCAAGACATGTTTCCACTAAGGTCTAGAATACAACTGAAAATGATCTTAACCTTGGTCCTGGTTTAAGACCTTCTCAAATGAACAACAAAGAAACCACTGTTATTGGTACAATCCTTTTTGTTTTGTTTGTCTGAAGACAGGTTCTCATGCAACTCAGTCTAACTTCATAGTTGCTATATGGCCGAGAATAACCTTGAACTCTCTGGCCTCCCACTCCTGAATGCTGATTCTGCTGGGATTACAGGAGGGTGCCAACATCCATTTACATTTCTATGTTAAAATTAACAGTCCAAAAGTTTTCTTTATTACATTTATTTATTTTGTTTATGTTCCTGTGTGGTCAGAGAACAACTTGTGAGAGTCAGTTCTCTCCTTCCACCATGTCGGAACTAGGGATCTAAATCAGGTACTCAGGCTTGGTAGCACTGAGCCACCTTGCTGGCCCTCATTTTTAAATCTGAGAATCTACATTACTTGAATTCATATCAAAACTGTTTTCCTTAAAGGATATGAGGCAATAGAAGCAGTCAGGAAAAATAGTCACTCTTTGGGTTTACTAATATTTATTGTTTAATGAAAACCAGTTCTTGAAGCACCTTAAAGGCTGTGGTAGTTGCTTCAAGACAGTTTGAAAACTACCATCTGCAAATATAGAACATAGGGAAACAAGCAAAGAGGCATGTTTTAAAAGGCAAACAGGAACTAGAGCAAAAACCATCTGTCAGAAATGGCAGCAAGGTGGGAAAGGGGGACAGATGGATATTAGAAGGTCCTATGGACACATGCAAGCCCTAAAATGAATTAAAAGAAATAGATCCAAAGGTTAAACTGAAGAGTAGCCAAGGCAGCTCTCCTTTGTGGATATAAGATTAGATCTTAGTCATGCATGGTTTTTAGGAAATGCCACAGCTGCTCAGAGAAGAGATAGGCAACAAGCCAGCAGCAGCACCTTAAACACAAAAGCAAGAACAAGAAAGCATCCTCTCCACACCAATATCCTTCCGCTTTGGAGATCTCAGACAGAGCTGTTCCAGGCCAAGAGCCACAAGTGTGTTTGGATATGTCAGTCCTCTGAGCTTAAGTCACCACAGTAACTGGTACTACATTGGGGTTCTCCTATGTATTCCCTTGTCTGAAATGGCTTCCTACAGACAAACAGATCAACAGAATCTAAAAATCCCCAAACTGAGATTTGATACATCTTGATGAATTATATTAAAAGCATAGGCAACTATTTCCTTGTCAACTTAGTATTTGTATTAATATGGTTTATGATCTTCTGTAATATATAATCTTCATTTAAGTCACATATTTTAGAAATCTCTTTTTAAAATTCTAAATTGTAATTTATGAAAAGAGGAAAAATGTCCATCTAATGATCAAGTAAGATAAGGCCCAAGATAGGCAGAAAATGAATGGAGTATAAGCACAAGTGAGTGCCAACCCAACATGCACAGAGCTCTTTAATTACAGACACTATGACTAACTGGAGATGATTTTTGTAATTATACAAAGACTCACATTTACAATGCTAATTAATGCCTATTAAATAATCTGTTCATAAGAGGAAACAACTCAAGAGGGAAAAGGCAGTGTTGACACAGTAATGATTGAAAGCAAGAGCCTGAGATAAAACTGCCTGACCTAACCACGAGAAGCCATGGCACCTCAGAAAGGGAACCACTCCTGGCTATAGCAAAATGGAGATAAAGTGATTTTACCAATAACAGGAATAAGAGATACTATATTATGGTGCCTAGAACAGGGCCAGGTGTATTACAGACATTCAATAAATGTGAGCAGCTATCATCACTAGCCTTAACAACTGTGATTTTCAATTTGATTTATTTATATGGACAGAAACACTGAAGACTGAGCGGAAGACTCAAATTCTTATACCTCCTCAACTTCAGTCAAGGCATAAACTAAAATTCACTGTTATTTCTAAATAGAGAAGGGTAAAAACAAGAGAATTTGACTTTATATCACACTCTGTCTGGGATTTCCCTGTTAGGAGTGCTGGCATGCAAAGCTCATTGTAAGGCTGACCCAGCAGAGGTCAATCAGCACGTCAGTGTACAGTAAATAACCAATACATGTATACACACATTTGCCTCCACTTCCAGAGTAATCATCGATCAATGGGTCAACTAAAGATAAGCAAGAGGGAAAATACAAGAAGGGTCAAAGTTCAGATTCAGTAGTGACACAGAGTGGGATTTAGCATTTGGGAAGCTAAAAAAATGAAAATTCAGTAATATATATTATCATTTCACAAATTATGTTAATTAAAATCCAAACTCTAATCAATAAGCAGTAAGCTGGAGGAAGTCTGAAGCCTGCTAGTATTTCAAAGTATATAATATTTTACATTACAAATAAAAATATGTTTTACTAAACAAACCCATATTCTATCTGATGGCAAGAACTTTTTTTTAAGTGCTGAGGCTAAAACCAGAGCCTTGCACATGCTAGGTAATAATGATCAACCAGAACCTAGAAAAAGTTGAACTATACACTATACAGAGAGATGACTAGGATTTTAAAAGCACGCTGTACAGCAGTACTTTCTGGAAGTCTAGTTCTTGAACTTGGCAAGAATTAGACTTTTCCTCTTCCCTTTTCCATAGAGAACTCAAAGGTAAATCTCATCTGAAAGTAGACAGAATGGTGAACTCTTACACATGCATTATCACTGCTGCACTAACCCAGGGAAACAAGAGCTTCCAAGTAATACCTTTATGAAGTGGTTAACTTTTTTTTTTCCAGAATAAATTTAACATTAAAAATCCGGGATTTGGGTGCACATTCTACATAAAGAAATTTTGAGATTATTTCATTTCACTGGCATTTTTAAGAAAAAAAAACTCATAAAACTATTTTTACTACCATTTAGTTTCATCAAGTCTCTAAAATCTAAGTTAATTTTATTTACTTATTTATTTGAAGTAGGGTCTCACTGTGTAGTTCTGGCTGGCCTGCAGTTCAGCAGGTAGACCAGGCTAACCTTGAACTCATAGAGATCAGCCTGCCTCTGCCTCCCGGGTGCCCACTACACCCAGCCCTAAGTTTGTTTTAAGCATAAGAATCTGGAGGGGAAAGTAAGAGTCTGTATGACCCGCATTCACTTACTATCAATAATATCTCCCAGCCCCTGAGCACGAAGAAGGTCCTTCAGCCGGGTCACTTCCTCCTTCAACTCCCGAACCAGCTTGGCATTAGGGTCCTCATTGATAACAGCGTTGCATTTAATTTGCTTTGCACGATCTGCATATCTAGATACAGAAAGAAAAGCTGTACTTCTCATAAATAACATACCATTTGCCTCTAAAGCAAACATTTGAAGAGCCTTGATAAATAAGCTATTTGTATGAAGCTTCATAGCACTTTACAGAGGGGACACAGGCTCAGAACTTAAGTGATCTGGCTAAAATAACAACAGAAATAAATACCAGAGAGGAGGTCGGGCATTGGTGGTGCACGCCTTTAATCCCAGCACTCAGGAGGCAGAGGCAGGTGGATCGCTGTGAGTCCGAGGCCAGCCTGGTCTCCAGAGTGAGTGCCAGGATAGGCTCCAAAGCTACACAGAGAAACCCTGTCTCGGAAACAAAAACAAAAACAAAAACAAACAAACAAAAAATACCAGAGAGGACTCACACCCAGTCTGCCGGCCTATGTAGTGTTCCTCTACTCTATTAACAATATCTTTAATGGGAGTAGGGAAGACAGTTTCAGATTAAAATATTCCACATGTAAAAATTCAGTGCTACATGTACTAGTAATTGCATTATTTTTTACAACTTGAACAGATCTATACACTGTCCATAAAAGGGAACACTTCTATTAACAGAAATGAACACTATAAGAAAATTTTCTTATCTAAAATTGTCCAGTATCTCAATCGAGTAATTTGAACGTCTTTCCTGTAAAAAAGCTCTTATTTATCCCAATGAATCTGGAAGTCACAGAGGTAAACTCCATTATAACAAAAATCATCTCCCCCTCATTATCAGAAAAAAAGGTCACATGACAGCCCTCAACACGAAGATCCATGGCAGACAACACTTATCAGCCATTGACACCAAAGCACAGTACCTCAGGGTGCTCAAAGTTTCATCGTAGTTGATGTCTGCTGGGCTCAGAGCAGCAACCATTGCAGTCCGAGAGTTGCCACCTAGGAAAAGGAATTAAGTTTCTCAAATTTCACTTTTTTTAAAAGGAGAATTTTATTTACTGTGTGAAAGCTGAGAGCAGACCGTAGAGTTTAATGAAAAAAAATTTTTTTCATTTCTTTGTCCTGACAAGGTCTCATGTACCTTGCTGGCTTGAGCCGACAATCTTTCTGCCTTCCTTTCCTAAGTGCTGGAATTAGAGCTATGTACCACTAATCCTGGAACCCAAAGACATTCTTAAATGTTCCCATGTTATGCACTGTTCCACTCACATTCTGTTTTCCAAATCTCCTGTTCAGTCCCTGTCCTACTTTCCCTTAAAACCACTCTAGTCAGGTATGGTAGCACATACCTAAAATTCCTACACAGAAGGCGGCGCCAGGAGTTCAATGCCAGCCCCTATCTTAAACAAAAAAACACTCTAATCAAGATCTCAACCACTCCACACAAAAACTGTCCTCAGTGATGGGAAAGTTGACTGGCTGCTTTTTCTTGAGGAGGAGGAGGAGCAAGGAATGAGGAGAAAGGCTGAAAGGTCAGAAAACACCAGTAGAAAGGAAGGAGACTGCAGCGTGTACTTAGTGCAAAGGAATGTGAGCTTCTAAGTACTCTGAGGAAAGGGAGGGCTAGAGATGGCTCAGTGGTTAAGAGTGCTAACTGCTTTTGCAGAAAACAGCGTCTGGTCCCATGGGATCCAACGCTACCTTATAAGCTCTGCATGAACCAGACACACACACACAGTACACACATACACAACTCAAGCACATAAAATAAATAAGACTTGGCAGAGGCAGTGGGCTCTGCAGAAGGAACAACATTTTAAGCAGCTGCATGGAGTACAGGAGACCGTAACTGCTCCTCAATTTGTATCGTGAAGTTAGTAAGTCCAACCAGGGAAAACCAAAAGCAAAGCCAGAAAAAGACAAGAAGCACTCAAGTGAGTTACTATGAACACGGAGAGATGATTCTTTTCCAAAGCAGACATGGAATAATGAGCCATGACAGACCATTACACAGCTTTAAAATGACAACTACGAAGTTATCATGGACTAGTGGTCAACATACCTAGATTTTCTCGAAGGAGCCAAGTAAGAACAGAATCTCTGTAGGGAATAAAATCAGTTTTCTTCTTCTTTTTACTCTATTAAAGAGAAGGGAATAACTTTAGCAATATTATAGGGGAAAATTCACATGAAAAGCAAACAAGTCTCAAATTCTGAAGTAACCAAACTACAATGGAATTCCATCATGATTGAAATGTTTTACTCACAACTCAATTCTTCAAAAAGCACACGCAAAGTAATTTCTTTTAACATTTCATTTTTAAATCTAACACAAAAAGACCAGGAAGTAGTATTACAATGAACATGGTAGACTTACTACGTAGCTTTAACCATTATTATTTTGCCATTACCCAAATCATTTGATTAAATTGCAGGCGCAAATTCTAAATACTTCAGCAGATATGCAGTTTATTAGGAACAAATTAAGTCAATTTAACAATATAGTACTATTATTTAATATCCTACCCACATCGCTAAACCTGCTGATATTTTAAAACAAACCCAGTATTTCACTTATAAACACTCCAAGCACACATATCTTTGTCAAGGAGTCAAAAAACAACATAACCAGTGAGATGGCTCAAGACTTGATACACTAGGTAACACCAAGTCTGGTTCCCAAAAGCTGTCCTCAGACATCTGCACATGTATCACAGCACACGCCACCTCCACAACAATAATAATGAAAATCTTTTAAAGCAAGACCCAAAAAGTGAGAAAAAATTAAGTATTTAAATACTAAATATTTTAATGCAAATACTGCTTCTACCCTGACCTTATCTCATAAAATGCTTAACTAGAAGGTGCTCTGAATAATTTTTGTGCAGAAGAATTAACAAAAAATTTAGAGTATTTGTACACAAATATAAAGAAGAGAAAAATATTGGGTAAAGAAAGATACAAAGAATCTTTCTAGCTTCAGTTAAAAGTTTAAATTGGGAGCTGGAGAGAAGGCTCAGAGGTTAAGAGCACTGGCTGCTCTTCCAGAGGTCATAAGTTCAATTCCCAACAACTACATGGTGGCTCACAACCATCTATAATCACATCTGATGCTCTATTCTGGACAGCAGGCAGAACACTGTATACATAATAAATAAATAAAAATCTTCAAAGAAATTTTT